ATTGATAGGTTCGCGATTTATGAAACAAATCAGGACCTTTGTCTAAAGGTAATTCCACTCGATATCCAGATAAGAGATAACGCACATCATATTTCGTCGGCGTGAATCGAGATAATCGTTAAATTAGTGGGCACTTCAAAAGCATTTCTTATACAACAATCAAATCAACATAATACCTTTGAGCTCAACAGGTCCGACGATTCTGGAAGAAAGAATTTCAAGTGACTATACATAACGTAATTTTGCCAACAATTTTAAATAAAGAATACAATGATAATAAGTAATATACGCTCGTTTTTTACAGGGTTGGGAAAGTTACTTTATAAAAGTATCTAGTTACAGTTACAGTTTTTTCGCTAAAAATGTAACCAGTTACAGTTACAAGTTACCAATTCTGAAAAGTAACGCGTTACAGTTACTCAAAAAGTAACGAATCGTTACGTTGCAATTACTTTCCTGCAATGAAAATAAAAATATCAAATTTGCATTTAAATTGTTAAGTGTCGATAAAGACGTTTATGCGCAAATGCAAGGCCTAATGCGATCTGAGAAGGTTTAAAAAATATATAAAGTAACTATTAATGCTACTATTAAATTAGTTACTAGTTATCGAAAATATGTAACTGACAATGAGTTAAGTTACAGTTACAGATGGAGAGAAAGTAACGAAGTTAAGTTAGAGTTACCAAAAAAGTAACTGTAACTGTAACTTCGTTACAAGTAACGAGTTACTTCCCAACCCTGGTTTTTTATTATGTCATATAACAGAAAAATAGTATTGTAAATATTAACACCAAATGTACGAAAGAAAGAACAGAAACCGATATAACAGTAGGTAGATACAAAGTAGGAATGAATAAATAAAATGCTAAAAAACAATTCACTTGAAAAATATGGAAAATTTGTATAGAGAAAAAATTCAGCAATCGAAAAAACAGCTATTCTAAATTATATCAGTGATAGTATCTTAATGATAAATATTACAAAATACTTCAATCGGTAAATACTTGATATTATAATCTTCTTCTTTTATAATCTGTTTTTTGAACAATATAAAATTGCCTGTCTCTATATCGATATTATTGATTAACTCAAGTATTTTTCCCAAGTGGCTTCAAGGAGAGAGTAAAATAGAAAGGAAAAGAGAGAAAGAAGATCGAACTTCGAAAAATGACATCACAGTTCTGGAAATTACGGTCTGAATAATACGTAATCGTTAACAGACTTTGGGTTTCTATATTTGTACACGATTTATATTTATATATTAGCCGTCTGATAGATTGCTAGATAAAAGAAGATAATAAAAAAATTATAAAGAGGAAGTATTTTCAAGAAGCACTTGAG